TAGGAGTTCTCTCACTATCTCAAATGCCATCTCTCCTCTGGACAGCAGGGGGACTGTGATCCTCTTAAGAGCCACACTTGGATCTGCTCCATGTCTCTTCCACCCCAGTTCTTAAAGCATGACAGATAACAACTTAATACCCCATTTAACAGTTCATACTTGAGCATCTGGTAATGTTGATAGTTAGAAAGCCTAATCAGTCAACAAACAACATTTTAATTAAAGAAACCATTACACAAGATAATTCTCTAAACTACACCAACCCTAGATCATTTTTTATCAGAGCAGTTTAATTCATAAGCAAGTCTAGCATGGTCAATGAAAAGAAACTGCAGGAAATGTGAATACAATGGTTTTTGATACAAATTACACTCAATCTAACTGAAAATAGCCCCAGTTCACTCCTGGATGACTGAAAAACTCACAAAATGAGCAAAAGAAAAAAATTAACTGCAAGGCCTCAACAGTAAAGTGTTTTTTTTTTTTTTTTTTTTTTTTTTTACGGAACTGGGGATTGAACTCAGGCCCTTGTGCTTGCCAGGGAAGCACTTATTCCACTGAGCCATATCCCCAGCCCTGCAACAGTAAAGTTAGCTTTCCTAATAACCTAATACTATTTTGCTAATAAATACTCCACTTAAAACTGATCTATAGACCTTGGATGCTTTCTAAAAATTGGATTTAGGTATTAAAATGCACTCAAGAGCTCACATCAATTAGGTTGTTGTAAGCTGTGAACAAATTCACGTGGGTGCACCACAGGCTGTGCCACAGGAAACAGCCCTCCAGTGAAAACAGCAAGCTGCTGCAGGCAGGAGGCTCTCAGCAGCGGGTGCAGCATCCCAAGGGGGCAGGGGAGGGTCCTTCATCCACCCATGAGAAAAGCCATTTCTTCATACACCCAAGGGAAGACAAAAGATGACTGAATGTTGTCAAGACACTTTTTTCAAGCTGACCACCAAGAGTCACATCTTCAACAGACGCTCAAAGACGGTAGCCTGACTTTCACGTATTTTCTGTGTCCTGTTGTCCTAACATGCCAACTTGGGAGAGCAACAGAGAAAGTGCACTATAAAAACGTATAGCAAGCTGCCCACTCAGAACCTAAAATGCAATTAGTTAAATGAAGATCTTAGAAACACTGGCTACAAAATGTACTGCTTAATTAATTTAAATATTAACATACTTTTTAAAATAATAAATTGTGAAAAAAAATGGAAGGAATAGTTGAGGGTCTGAACACTACTAGATTGTATTATTTCTTATTCAATTTATCAGTTTACACAAGTATGTAATTTCAGGTAATACACATGTGAAAGAATATAAATACCAAAAAGTACTAGCAAAATTTAGCCTACAAGGTTACAAAGAAAGAGATATCAGATATTTGAAGATATCAGATTCTCTCCCCACTGTCAGTTTTAATTTATTTAGGGGCACTAGGGATTGAACCCAGGGCCTTGTGCATGCTAGGCAGGCGCTCTACCTCTGAGTTACATCCCCAGCCCCCTGTCACTTTTAACAAGAACACCTTGCAAAAGTTATTTACATTAGCAGAAGAAGCTGTTTTCCCAGAGCTTGGCATAATTAAAGCTCAGCCACCACCATCTGAAGTGCTTGAATATATCTGCTGTGACTTGCCTCTCCCTAAGGAGCTGTAGTTGAAACCGATTTGCTAGTTTCATCAGTTCAGTCAGGAACACATCATCCTCTCTGAACTCCAATTCATCTGTATAGATCCAGCGAAGCATTGTCATTGTCACTTCAGGATTAGCATCTAGTAAAAAAAAAAAAAAAAAAAATTAGAAAAACTGAAAGACCACTGGATGACTGGTTCCTCTGAGGGACCCCTAAAATTAGAGGTGAAAAAGTAAATTATGATACACCCAAACTCAGACAAATGTCTAACCATAAAAACAAGTGCTATGGCCATGACTCATCCACATGGCTGACACTGACAAAAGATCTACAATCTGAGGTACAGGGTCTCAGGATAAATCCTGAGGGGATTTCACTGACCTTATCAGACCCAAAAGTTACAATTCTTATTACATAGGTCTTGCTTTATCTTGGTCTTAACCATCAGCAGAAAAGTATAAAAACGAAGTACAAGAAATAAAGCCATGGTGTTGTTATGTTGAGCTGTAGGGGACTCAGGTCAACAACTTCTGACATTGCCAGTCAAGCAGAAGACACAGTACTATTATGGACTACTGAACTATTTTGGAATATTTTTCTGAGTTCACACACCTCTAATATTTAAATGATGGAACTAAACAAAAAAGGGGATACAGATGAATGACCATCTTGTATCTGTGTATTCAAAATGGTTAGGATAGATATATAGCTACATTCTCTTAATTCAAGGAATAGAGGGATTTGTTCTAATAGTGTTTGTAAATAGGATATCATGTCTGCATTTTGTACAACAAATAACCACTAGGAAGACAGTATGCAATGTGTTAATTATTGGAACTGTCCTACCAACTTGATTTGAAACTGTCTCTTCGCTATTTCTCAATAAAACTATGGGGGAGAAAAAAAACCAAACAAGTGTTGAAGCAGTTCAGCCAGCTTCTGACTCTAGGAAAAGGTAAAAAGTTTCGCATGGGGCTGAGGATGGGGAAAATGACACTACTTAAAGATGAAGTCAAATCAACCAGGAATAATTCTTGAAATGGAAACAAAAAGTTAATTTTCTAATAAAAACATCTTATAAATAAAAATGAAAAGATGGGCACTCAATGGAAATAGGGACTATGGCTATATGTACGTAAATTCATGAAACTTAAGTAAAAATTAAAAATGATCAATAAATTGCAATTTAATCTTCATTCTTTTTGTCTCAGACAAGCAAAAGTACATGATTTTTCACACAGCAATTATTATACACAAAGATTATTATCCTAAGAAAACAACTGGGAAAGTCTGGGAGACTGAGGCAGGAGGATTACAAATTCTAGTCCAGCTTGGGCAACTTTATAATAAAAGATCCACAATATGGTGGGGGGAGATAAGAAAGGATAAGAGAAGGAGAGGAGGGAGGGGAGGGACCCGGACACACACACACACACACACACACACACACATTAACCCCTCATGCCTCAGGTTCCATTTTTGGAACACAGTTTTTTTTCCTTCAAATTCTTGTTTCTTGAAATTTTATAGGTAATACATATGAATTTCATGTAAAAACTCAAAAAATTGCAGTCTTTGACATACATGGGTTAAGAAACTCAGTGGATTGTTTTTTCTTTTCCTGCAATTGAAGCCAGAGTCTGGTACATGCTAGGCAACTTCTCTACCTGTGAGCTACATCACCACCACCCTCTTTTCTTTTTTCTTAGAGTCTTATTAAATTGCCCAAACTGGCCTTGAACTTGTAATCCTCCTCCTTCCTCTCCTGAGTAGCTGGGATTACAGATGTGTGCCACTTTACCTGGCTAGAGGTTGTTTGTTTTGGTGACAGGTCTCACTATGCAGCTCATGCTTGCCTTGACCTTACTATGTGGCCCAGAATACCCTGGAACTCATGGTGATCAGCTTCCCAGGTGCTAGGACTACAGGTGTGCACCACCATGCCCAGCTGGCTAGTGTCATTTTTCTTTTTTTTCTTTTTAATTTTATTTATTTATTTGTGTGTGTGTGTGTCTGTGGCCAGCTCAGCCCACCAGGGGGCGGGGCTGGCTGGCATGTGATGCTGGGGGATTGAACCGTGGTCCCTGGACTTTGCTAAGCTTGTTCTAAGTAGGTGCTTTAGACCACTGAGCCATCTCACCAGCCCCTAGTGTCATTTTTCATAATGAAAAACTGAAATAAAACTCTAAAGGCTCCAACAATGAAGAACTTGCAATTAAAACCATACAAGCTGGGCGTGGCAGCAACAGGAATGTTGCAAGTTCTAGCCTGGGCTAGTTTCACTATTCAGTTCAGGCTGGCTTCACTGTATAGCCCAGGCTGGCCTCAAATTCACATTCTCTTGCCTCAACCTTCTAAGTGCTGGTATTACAGGCCTGCACCACCATGCCCAGCTTTACTCAGTTGTTAATAGCTATCCAAGGTATACAGAGTAAGTCTTCAAAGTAGAGTGAATTTTTTTCCTTCTTCTCCCTCCTCTTCTTTTCTGTTGTTTGTTTTGTTTTGTAGTAATGCTGAATATTGAACCCAGGGACACTCTACCATTGATCTACATCCTCAACGCCTCCCTTTTTACATTTTTATTTTGAGACCTGAGTCTCACTGAATTATCTAGATTGGCTTCAGGCTTCCAAGTAGCGTGGATTACAGGCATACACCACCTTACCTAGCAATAAAGTGAATTTCTGGCTTAGCTCTTTAAATCTGATTTAATACTTCAATGTAACTCAGTGAAAAAATTAACAAGTGGGTCATGGATCTGTACTGAGCTGCCCAGAAGTGAAACACAAATTATTCTTCTTATACAGCCCTATCTTGAAAAAATCCTCCCTGATGAACGTCCAATATGATTAACACCAAACAAAGATGTAGTAGTCTCTTTTAATTGTTTAAAAATGTGGCTAGTTTCTTCAAGTATCTAAGCCAACAAATTTGATCTGTGCAGGTAACAAACCAAACTTAAATAATTAAAAAATAAACTACTAGGGGCTGGTGAGATGGCTCAGTGGTCTAAAGCACCTACTTAGAACAAGCTAAGCTAAGCAAAAGCACAGCGACCACGGTTCAATCCCCAGCACCACATGCCAGCCAGCCCCGCCCCCTGGTGGGCTGAGCTGGCCACACACACACACACACACACACACACACACACACACACAAATAAATAAATTAAAATAAACTACTAGGCCAGGATATAGTTCAATGGCACAGTGCCTGCCTGGCAAATGCAAGACCCTGAGTTTAATTCTGGGCACCAAACAAACAAACCGCTTTCAGCAGGAATTTAGTGGGAGGCCTTAATATTTCAAAGAAAATGAGAATCAAGAGATTTTCAAGCTTTCCCTTGACTCTTTCTTTAGTCTCCAAAATAAACAGTTAACGTTGAGACTGACATTTAAGCAGCCAGTGGTAAAAGAAGTGAATTCCGTGTACTCCACACCCAAGTTGTTTATTGCTGTTTTGTTTGTGTGTGTGTGGGGTGGTACTAGGGATTAAACTCAGGGCCTTCCTTCACCCTGACACTCCCAGGCATTTTTTATTTTTTTTTAATTTTGAGATAGGGTCTCACCAGTCCCTAAACTGCCCAGGTTAGATGCATACCTGCAGCCCTCTTGCCTCAGGCTCTCAGGGCACTGGGAATACACAAGGCCTAGCTAAGGAATTTTTTTTTTTTTTTTTAATTTGGTACAGGACTTGCTATGCAGCTTGTACTCTTAGTGATCTTCCTGTCTTAGCCTCCCCAGCACTGGGATTATAGGCATGTGCCACCACTCCTGGTTTCAGTGACCAGCACAGTGCACCCAGGGTTCTGGGGATCAAACTCGGGTCCTTGTCCTTGCCAGGCAGGTGCTTAGAATGCTGAGCTATCTCCCCAGTCCAGGAATTCTTTTTAAAAGAAGTAGACTTAAGAGAAACCAGTTTGCCTCGGTGCTCTACATGATTTATTCCCTGCTAGATGCAATCACTCTGCAAGTGGGCCCAGCATACTGCGATTTCAAGAATGAAAATAGGGGGCTGGGGAGATGGCTCAGTGGAATTAGCGTTTCCCTGGCAAGCGCAAGGGCCTGAGTTCAATTCCTGGTCCTGTCAAAAAAATTTAAAAAATTTAAAAAAAGTAATCCCCAAATGTCTGCCTTTGTTTGACTATAGTCCACGACGCACACAGACACACTGTAGGGAATCTGGTATTTTCTATGTGGCCTACCTTTTTGTTGGGTTTTAGTTTGATCTTAAATGTTTTGTCAAACATCTTAAAAGAATGGAGATAAACCTATCTATATGCAATTAACTATTAAATGAAGCATGCTGAGTCAATTTTCTTTTTAAATTTTCTAATCTGTCAAAACTATGAAATGTGTTTAAATTTTCACTATGACTCTAACTTATCTGAATCCTGAGGCCACGCCCAAGACCCCTCCCAGCCAGACCCCAGGCCCTACTCCAGGCCTCCTGTGGAATCTTGCAGCAGAACTCCCAGCAGAAAAGCTAGGAGCCAGACTCACCAACTAATCCAAAAGCTGAACATCTTGCCAGAGTGACACAGCAGGTTCACCTATACGAGTTGCAGCAGGAAGAAGCTGAGCACAGCAGCCAGACCAAAGCCAGGCACATCTGGACAAGTTCAAAGTTGGTAGATCCAGACCTGGGATTTAAAGCTTAGCATATCAACAATTCATGGAAAATATCTGTTGCATGTTATGTCTAAGGCGTTTGGTATTTAGACAGATACTGATGTTAAGCTCAACAGTCTATGTTTTAGGGTAATAACATCATTAAGCTTCTCTTCTGGAGGGTTAACAACTTAAGCTTGCAGACCAAAAAATTACAGAAAAAGAAGGGCTACAAGGATAGCCAACATTGTGGCCCTAGCCCTTCAAGGTCAGTGAGGACTCAGGACATATAAGAGAACCTGTGCTGCAATATTCTATAACTCAGTGGTATCCCAAATTTTCTAATCAAGGAGATTATGGGGCCACAGAGGAAAGTGATTGACAATGTAGAGTGTGCCTAAGGAGAGTCACATGAAGAGAAAACATTCTCTAAGGATTTCACAAAGAGCAAACTGGTCAAGCAGTGGTCGTGACTCATCCACATGGCTGACACTGACAAAAGATCTACAAACTGCTGTACAGGGTGTCA